ATCATCGTTCATCATCATCATCATCATCATCATCATCATCATCATCATCATCATCATCATCATCATCATCATCATCATCATCATCACATCCCTCTCATCCTCCTCCTCCTCCTCCTCCTCCTCCTCCTCGTTTTCTCCGTCTTATTATTATTCCGCCTCCTTCTCCTCCTCGTCCTCCTCCTCCTCCTCAATCTCCTCCTCCGTCTCCCCCTGCGCCTCCCCCTCCTCCTCCTCCTCCTCCTCCTCCCCCATCCTACTCCTCCTGCCTCCTCCTCCTCCGCCTCCTCCTCCTCTTATTATTATTCTTATTAATCTTATTCGTCCTCTTCCTCCTCCTCCTCCTCCTCCTTCTCTTCCTCCTCCTCCTCCTCCTCCTCCTCCTCCTCCTCAGCATCATCGTCATCAGCATCATACCATCATCATCACCATCACCATCACCATCATCATCATCATCATCATCATCATCATCATCATCATCATCATCATCATCATCATCATCATCATCGTCATCGTCATCGTCATCATCATCATCATCATCATCATCATCATCATCAGCATCATAATCATCAGCAACATCATCGTCAGCATCATCATCATCAGCAGCAGCATGATCAGCATCATCATCATCATCAGCAGCATCGGCATCAACATCAGCAGCAGCAACATCATCCTCCACCTCCTTCTCCTCCTCCTACTCATACTCCTCCGTCTCCTCCTCCTCCTCCTCCTCCTCCTCTTCCTCCTGGTATGTTTGTTGTTTTGTGTTCTTACTATTCTTAATATCATCCGTATTATTACTTGGAGATTAGTACTGTTCCTCTTAGTACTCTTTGTACTCTTCTTCTTACCCTGTTTCTGATTATTATTATTCCTCCACCTTCTGATCCTCCACATCCTTCTCCTCCTCCGCCTCTTCCTCCTCCTCCTCTTCCTCCTCCTCCTCCCTCCCTGCCTCGTTTCCTCCCTTCCCTCTTCCTGGCACCGCTCCTCCTCGTCCTCCTCCTCCTCCTCCTCCTCCTCCGCGTCGTCTTCCTCCTCCTCCCCCTCTTCCTCCTCCTCCTCATCCTCCTGGTCTTCCCCCTCCTTCCCCGCATCATCAGCATCAGCAGCAGCATCATCAGCATCATCAGCATCATCATCAGCACCATCATCATCATCATCATCATCATCATCATCATCATCATCATCATCATCAGCATCATCACCAGCAGCAGCAACAGCAGCAACAGCATCAGCATCACCATCATCATCAGCATCAGCATCATCATCGTCATCATCAACACCACCATCACAATCACAATCACCACCGTCAGCATCAACATCATCACCACCATCCTCATCAGTATCATCATCATCATCATCACCACCACCACCACCGTCATCATCGTCATCATCAGCATCATAATCATCACCATCATCATCAGCACCATAAGCATCATCATCAACATCATCATCGGCAGCATCATCAACATCATCATCATCATCATCATCAGCAGCCTCATCATTATCATCAGTACCATCATCATTATCATCATCAGCATCGTCAGTATCATCATCAGCAGCATCAGCATCATCATCACCATCATCAGTATCACCATCATCAGCATCAGCAGCATCATCACCACCAGCAGCAGCATCGTCAATATCAGCAGCATCAGCATCATCAGCAGCATCACCATCATCAGCATCAGAATCGTCATCATCACCATCCTCATCATCGTCCTCATCACCATCCTCATGATCGGCATCATCATCAGCACCATCATCATCAGCATCAGCATCAGCAGAATCGCCAACATCATCATCAGCAACATCATTGTGGTCGTTGTCATTGTCATCGTCATCATCGTCATCGGCATCGTCAACGTCATCGTCATCATCGTCAAGGTCATCGTCATCGTCGTTGCCCGCATCACCTGCATCACCACAATAATCATCCCCAACCTCATCTTCTTCATCTTATTATTCTTCTTCTTCATCATCATCATCATTACCAGCATAATCACCCCTCAGGAATGACTGCAGAAAACGCGGACCAACCATCCCACCATCCGGCACAACAACGGCCGAAAACTACAGAACCATTCCGCGGTCCATGACCCTTTCCACACGCGTCCATGCATGGGGGGATGCCGCCTCTTCATAGCGACGTTCTCGTCGCGCGCCTGGCGGAGGCTCGCCTCCAACTCCTCGACCTGCTTCTGCAGCGCCTCGTTCTCCTCCTCCAGGCTGCCGTTCTTCTCCTGTGCGCACGAGGAGGAGGAGGAAGAGGCGGACCAGCAGCAGCAGCAGCAGCAGCAACAGCAACTCCAACAAGGGGACAATAACGGGGAGGAGGAGGGGACGAGGAGGAAGAGAAATGCTAGAATCGCTGGGTTGGCAGCGGTGGCAGAGGTGGGTGGCATCGGATGCAGTAGTGAAAAACACTTGTTCTATCACCAAAAAACGTCTGTCATTCCGAAGTGTTTGCCTGATGGCACCCGCGCATCCTGTTCGAGCCCGGCCTGTGCGGGTCCCACATCGATCTTCACCCTGGAACGGTCCCAGGGTGAAAATACATCGGGGACCTCCCGACGCTGGGCGGGGGGGCCCAGCCGCGAGAAAAAGGCTCCCCAATAAGAGACCTCATTCGGAAAATGCCCATTTTTGAAGCTCGGGCACCCCCCCCCCTCGATCTCCGAGAACGCCGTTTTGCGCTGGGGGAGGGCGCCAGATTGAAAATCCATCTGGGACCTCCCGACGCTGGGCGGGGGGACCCAGCCGCGAGAAACAGGATCCGCAATAAGAAATCCCATGCGGAAAATTGCAATTTGCGGGGCTCGAACACGCCCCCTCTCATCCCCGAGAGTGCGTTTTGCGCTGGGGGAGAGTGCCACAATGATTTTCATCCTGGAACGGTTCCTGGGCGAAAATCCACCCGGGACCTCCCAGCGCTGGGCGGAAGGGCCCGGCCGCGAGAAACAGGCTCCCAAAAAAGAAATGTCATTTGGAAACTGGCCATGTTTGGATCTCGGGTGCACCCCCCCACCCACGCCCTGTCCACCTCCTGTGATTCCGTGTTTTCTTTGTGTTGTTGTGTCACGTCTCTGTGTTGATTTGTTGCGTCTTTATGTTGTCTGTGATGCCTTCTGAGCGATTTTCAGTCGGCGGCGCGCGCGCGAGAGTGCCACGATCTGAGTTGAGATCTGCAATGTTCCGCGGGCGGCGTCGGCGCGAGGACGCGAAGACGACGCACGCCTCTGGCTTATGAGATGCTTTCTTCGGGATCTTCAGCGGGCGGCGTCGGCGCGAGAGTGCGAAGATGAAGAGTGCCTGCGGCTTGAGAGATGCCCTCTGACGGCGCGACAGTGCGCAGGTGACGTATGGCTCGAGCTCGTGGGACGTCTCCCGAAGGGTCTTTCGTGGGCGGCGTCAGCAGGAGAGTGCGAAGATGACGTGTGCCTGCATCTCGCGAGATGCCTTCCGAGCGATTTGCATTGGGCGGCTGTGGCGCGAGCGCGCGAAGATGACGCGCGCCTAGACATTGTGAGACGCCGTCCCGAAGAGTCTTCATTGGGCGGCGTCGGCGCGAGAGTGCGCAGATGATGCATGCCTCCGTCTTGTGAGAAGCCCCCCGAGGAATATTCCATGTGCGGCGTCGGCGCGAGCGCGCGCAGATGGCGTATCTCTGCGGCTTGTCAGATGCCTCCCGAGGGATCTTCCCAGGGCGGCGACGGCGCGAGAGTGCGAAGATGACGTATGGCCTGAGCTTGTGAGATGTCACCCGAAGGGTCTTCCGCTGGCGGCGTCGGCGCGAAGGCGCGAAGATGACGCGTGCCTGCATCTCGCGAGATGCCTTCCGAGCGACTTTCATCGGGCGGCGTCGGCGCGAGAGCGCGACGATGACGTGTACTTGGACTTTGGGAGATGCCCCCCCGAGGGATCTTCGTTGGGCGGCGTCGACGCGAGTGCGCGGAGATCCGGCTTGTCTGCGGCTTGTCAGACGCTCTCCGAGGGATCTTCATTGTGCGGCGTCGACGCGAGAGCGCGGAGATGACGTGCCCCTGCGGCTTGTCAGATGCCCCCCGGGGGGTCTTCACTGGGCGGCGTCGACGCGAGAGTGCGCGGATGACGCGCGCCTTGACCTTGTGGGGTGTCTTCCGAATGGTATCCCGTGGGCGGCGTCGGCGCGAGGGCGCGAAGATGACGCATGCCTGCATCTCGTGAGACGCCTTCCGAATGATTCTCATTGGGCAGCTTCGGCGCGAGAGTGCGAAGATAAAGAGCGCCCGCGGCTAGCGAGATGCCTTCCGAGGGGTCTTCCGCGGACGGCGCCAGCGCGAGAGTGCGAAGATGACGCATGCCTCCATCTTGCGGGATGTCTTCCGAGGGATCTTCATTGGGCGGCGGGGGCGCAAGAGCGGGAAGACGCCGCGCGCCTAGACTCCGTGAGAAGCCCCCCCGAAAGATCTTCACTGGGCGGCGTCGGCGCGAGAGTGCGCAGATGACGCATGCCTCCATGCTGCGAGATGCCCACCGAGGGATCTCCATTGGGCGGCGCCAGCGCAAGAGCGCGAAGATGACGCGTGCCTAGACTTCGCGAGATGGCCTTCGGGGGGTCTTCACTGGGCGGCGCCGGCGCGAGAGTGCGCGGATGACGCATGCCTTGAGCTTGTGAGACGTCTCGCGAAGGGTCTTCCGCGGGCGGCGTCGGCGCGAGAGTGCGAAGATGACGCGCGCATCCATCTTGCGAGATGCCCCCCGAGGGATTTGCATTGAGAGGCGTCAGCGCGAGGGCGCGAAGATGGCGCGCGCCCTGGAAATCTGAGATGCCCCCCGAGTGATCTTCATTGGGCGGCGTCGGCGCGAGAGCACGCAGATGACGCATGCCCCCCCAGTGCGAGGTGTCCCCCGAGGAATCTTCCATGGGCGGCGTCGGCGCCAGAGCGCGCAGATGACGTATCTCTGCGGATTCTCAGATGCCCTCCCAGGGGTCTTCCTTGGGCGGCGTCGGCGTGAGAGTGCGAGGATGACGTATGTCTTGAGTTATGACGGGCATGTCCCTCTACAGCCCTCCCAAGAGCTCCACGCCTTAAAGGTTGTGTTTGAGTTGTTACGAAGTTGAAATTCTCATATTCAAACAAATTGTTTTGAGTTGTTAAACATATAATTGTTTTACCACACACACACACCATGCACAACACAACGGTTGATGTTGTCATTTTGCGCACAGCCTGTCAGCAGATGTTAAGAATCTGCTGGAGATCGGGACGGGCACGTCCATGATGGGGCCATATTGGGGCCGTCATTGGGCCGTCTTGGCGTCATTTGGGCTGTTTTGGGGCCATCTTGGGCTGTCTTGGGATGTCTGGGGCCATAGGCTGTCTTCTGGCCGTCTTGCATAAGGTTGTCTTAGGCCGTCTTAGGCCGTCTTGGGCTGTCTTAGGCTGTCGTGGCGCCATCTTGGGACCGCCTTGGAGCCGCTTTGGGCTGTCTCAGGCTGTCTCGGGATGTCTTAGGTTGTCTTAGGGCTTGGGGCCGTCTTTGATATGGCTGTCTTGGGGCTGTCTTGGGTTGTCTTGGGCAGTGTTGGGCCGTCGTGGGCTGTCTTAGGCTCTCCTAGGCTGTCATCCGGCCGTCTTTCGTAGGGTTGTCTTGTGGCTATATTGGGCCGTCTTGGGCTGCCTCAGGCTGTCTTGGAGCCATCATAGGCTGTCGGGCCAACATGCGCTGTCTTGGGCCTGTCTTGGGGCCGTCATTGGTTGTCCCGGCGCCATCATAGGCTGCCTTGGTGGCCCCCCCGAGCGGCCCCTTGGGAGGAGGGGGCCGTTCGTGGGCGACCGTCTAACACAGCCTGGGGACCCGCGAGGGGTCGGCGGATTTGTCTTCACTTGGGTCTTGCTGCGAAGGCAATTCACAGTCAACGTGGGCCACCGTCACCGCCCGCAGCCATTTTGGCTCATGTTCGTTGCTGAACGTTTTTGGTGATAATGAAGTGCATGTCTTGGACGCATGTCCGACAGCGATGACCATAGCGCTGGCGGCCTCTTCGGCTCGCCAGAAATGTCAGTTCCAGCCCTCGGGCGGCGCAGCCCGCGCGTCTCGCCCGACGAGGAGTCGCACGCAGACCTTGGGTGGCACAGCCCATCCTCTGCGTCGCGCGGTCAAGATGATGCCGCTGATTGCCCAACACCGCCATATGAAGACGGAGACGTTCATATCCATGAAGCATTCGATGCCGCCCTGCACGATTCAGATGGCGACCCAGAGGTCGATCCACCAGGCCTTGAAGCCGCTCCGCGTCGGACGATCTTTGCTGCTTGATTGTTGAAGTTGTTGGCCAAGAGGGTTCGCGCCTCAGTCGGCGATAATGCCCCGATGCTGGCTACAGAGGGCGGGGGCCAGGGCGTCGACGGAGGCCCTCCCGATGCGAATGCCGATGGCGTCGGCGGGGCAGGCGCGTGGGATCTATGCCTCCTGCAATCGTTCCCCGGCGAATTTGAGGATGTGGTTCCGCGGTATGTGGACGAATCAGTTTGCCAGCACACGATTCACAACACTGTTTTGTTCGACCTGGCCGTGAACATAGATCGTTGCATTCAGAGTTTGACGCATGATAGTAAACGAGTTGATCAAGTCAATAATAAGCTGGTTCAGTCTTACCTCATTGACCCAAGCCTCACACTGACCCAAACTGCCAGAGCAAAGTTGAGCAAAGTCGATCGGAAAAGGGCGAGGGCGATTCAAACTGAATTGGCGATGGCCGCCTTGTTGTGCGACAGGATGGACGCATTGTCTTTCCTGGCGCATGTAGCTCGAGATGTCGCCAAAGATCCCACTGGCGTCTTGATCTGCCTTACGGAGCTCAGTCGATACGACGAAACGCCGTTGATATTCAGGACCAAATCGGATATTTCGGAAGCCAGGTTGGAGTCCGCTGCCCGCAGCGTCAAGCTACAGAGCATTCTCGGCCCAACAGATGCTGATGAGGATTCCTTGATAGCTAAACTGTGCCATTCCCAACATCCGCTCTGCATGCCGTTGTTTGCATCAGGGCAAAATTGGTGCATTGAGTTTGAATTCCCGCTGTGGTTGCAGAACATGATGAGTAAGCAAGGGGAGTGTTATTGCCGCTGTTTGCAGATGGGTCTACTGCCATTGAGAAATATATGAAATGTGTTCGCTCGCGTTCAGCGCATCGCCACGACGATGACGGGGCAATCGGTCGTCGCGAGGCTGGCATTGCACTGAAGAGTCCCGACCTGCACAACATGAGGTGCAAGTGCGAGGTCCACAGGTCAACTGGAATCAGAAAGAAGACCATGAAATTTTTCAGAGCACACATATCATTTCTGATGCATGTATATTTGTCCATTGGCATGGGATCTGCAATGGTAATAATGAGACAGGAGCTCCGGGACTTAAGCAAATCATCGTTCGAGTACCGTCGTGGGTCGCCGCCTCCATCGTACCGCTCGGAGTTGAAGGATATCCTCGATGTCTTCTGGCACCAGAATGTGAAAGTTATCCAGCTGAGGCGGGCCATCGTGGAGGCGTTGTTCACAGGGTCCATTGCGGAGGACAAGGTTATGCACTACTGCTATGGCTGCTGTTCCGGGCCAGAGGACAGCCTTCGGAAATTTCTCGCACATGGGGCCCAGGCCCTGTGCGGGTCTGCGCCCAAGCCTTTTGCTCTGAGCAGGTGGACTCGGCAGGAGGACGTCGTTAACTGGGTGGGCGTGTTCGAGGGACGCAACAAGCTGTTCACGAAGACGTTTCAAAAGTTCTGCGCCAGAGTCGGCTCAAAACTACGCGAGGCCTGCGCCCCTTGCCCGCCGCCTTAGTCGCAGCTGACTGGTTGGAAGATTGGTTTGGTTGATGGGCTAATCTGGGGTGCATTGCGCGGCATGGCACGGTTGGTCTGGTTGGTCATGGTTGGCAACGTTAAGGTAGCAGTGCCGTTGCCCCCGCTGAGGGGTAGACTGATCCCATCGACCCAGAGACGCCCCCGCTGCAGCGCCATGGGAAGATGGCGCTCTAGCGCTTCAAGACGTTCGACCTGCAGAACCCGAACATCAATGCGCCCCAGGAGCGAGCGACCACGACCCGTCCTCTGCGTGGCAGGCGCAGCAGGCTCAGCAGTCACACTCCAGGTCCCTCGTCCTAGGCATGTGCGGCAATGGCACGTCGGAGCACGGTTGCCTGGCTGATCTGATCGTTCTCGCGCACGCCCTCGAGCCTCAAAGGAAACTGATGGCAGCGCTGCTGTACCTTGGAGGGGCGTCTTTCGAGGAGTGCCAACTAGGGAAATCAGCGGTCGCCGAGTTGAGGGGTCTGGAGATCGACGATGCGAGGAAGCATCGCGGGCTCGTCGCTGCCGCGTGCGAGCTCGATGGGACAGCGATGCGAGATGTGTCAGCTCGCATGTCTAATCCTCGGCCATGGGCAGCAGTGCGCCCCCATTTCAGGACGAGGACTTTGCGGACCAACGCTTTCCAGGCGCTCTCCATGTGCTCGTGCCTCGCAGCGGAGATGCGCGCCTTCCACTGGGGGGTGCCCCTTCAAGCTGTTCATTGCTCATCACTCCTGACGACGCGACCTTGCTGGGCGAAATCCCATCCGAGGAACACTTGCGGTGCCCGTGGTCAAAGCAGTTCATAGAGACCTGGTGCCAGGACGGGATCTGGGCAGTCTTAGCGATGGTCGATCTTCGCGTCACTGTGATCATGGCCCTCTTCGACACGTCGGCATTAGAAGCCAAGCACGCTGCAGTGCGCAGAGCAATCGACGGGCCCAGCAACCAGACACATGCCCCCGAAGTGGATGTCATTGCTGCAATGGAGGTGCTGAGGTTGTTTCGGAAGCATGCCACGCGTTTAAAACCATTATTGTTTCCAGACCATGCTGATGGCGACCGCGACCAGCCTGACGGCGCCGACCATGCCGTGAAAGCTGGGGGCGCCTCGAGCCGCAAGGGCGGCGGCGGGGTCCCGTGGCGCTGCTACGTGGCGGACAACCCTGACATTTGCGACCTCGGGCTTCTCGCAACTATGCACTGGGGTCTGTCCGATGCTGAGCGCGCTGACTTTGCGGAGAGGGGGCGCGATGGCACTCTCCGACGAAGGAAGGGCAAGGGGGGCTTCCACGGCAAAGCTCGGGACCACGAGCGCTGCGCGAAGAGGCAGCGGACTGACAGCGAGATCGAATGCAGGATGCGCCAGAGAGCTCTCGAGGACGAGCCCCCCCGAGCGCCCGAGGCGCTGCAGCCGCTTGTTCCTGGCATCAACGGGTGGGACATGGTGGAAGCGCTGAAGCAGAGATACCGCGCCGATGGGGGCCTTGAACAGTCGCGCGATTGCGAGGCGCCCGAAGACGCTCAGGGAGCACGAGGCGCACGCAGATCACGGCGCTGCTCTGGTCGAGAGCTTGTTCGACGCAGTTCCAGCGCGCAGGGCCTCCAAGCACAACCTGCAGCCCTTGCCGAGCCACGATGTCACCACTGGAGGCGCCCGCCTCCACCATTTCAAGTGAAACCCCGTGGACGCCCTCGCCGCGGCAGGCAGGCTGTTGCGAGCGCCTCGCTCGAGCGCGGCCGCCGTGGCCGCGAACGGTCGCTTGCGCGACCAATGGGTGGCGTTGCACAAGCAGGTGGTTTCGGAGCCCGTGCCCGAAGCGCCAGAGAAGGTGACGCGCGGGTTTCACAAACGCTTTGAAACAAAACAACAACATGGGGGAGAGGGAGGGGGGGCGAGGACAATCAAGGGGGATAGGGGAACTAGGCGAGGGAGGACTGGAGGGCAGGAGGAGGAGAAGCGCGAACTTGGAAGATTGGGGGAATTATTAAACGGGGATGCTCAAACACCCCAGCAAATACTCCTCACCGCCCGGTGGTAAACACCCCCTCAAACCTGGTTTCACCCAGAGAGGTGAAGACGAACCTGTGTTTCTTTGCTGGGGCGTGCATATGTCGACGAGGGCCGCAGAGACACCTCGGCGTCATGGGCGACAATGTTCGGAAGTGCTTAAGGCTATCGCTGAAAGGCAAGGCGCAGCGCCAGCCCCTCCAGGTCGGCGCTTCTGCTGCTCTCTTCGTCGGCTCCGAGGTGGGCGAGGAGGCAGGCGGCGAGCTCCTGCGCCGCCCCCTGAGCCGTCGCAGTACATGTGGAGGCACATTGGATTCACGTCGCTCTCGCCTGTGTGCCCCCAGCGGCATCAGTGTGCTTCGCCTGCTAAACCATCGTTCGCGAACCGTCTTGCATCTGAGTATGAGTTGGCTTCTTTGTACGACGCCGGCACATTCTGGCTAGGATTGGCATGCTTGGACCAGCAAATGCGTTGGGATATGGCATTGTTCGAGCTGGTCAGTGACGCTTACATGCTTGGGAATATGGCGCCCAACGCGTGCACAGTGAATGGAGAGGCGCAGTTACACCGTGTGTGGGACCCGACGCGGACAATAAAGCAAAAAGGTGACAATGCTTAGGGGTTCGGCTGTGACGAGTACCTCAAGAGCAGCAGCGACGACGACAACGAGGAAGGAGGCGATGACATCGTCATCGAGGCGGCCATCGAGGGCGATGTTGGCGAGAGCGAGATCGAGAGCGACGATGCCAGCCGTCTAGATTCGGACGAGGGCAGCGTGCGCGGCGGCGACGGGCATGGGGGCAACGGCGTTGCAGGCGGGGATGGACCTCCACCTGAGCTGGCAGAGGCAGACGGGGCGGCAGAAGCCGCCGCTGCGGCAGCTGCAAGGGGTGCCGATTTCGATCGAGGTTCCCCTATGGTCGTATCATTACCTAACAGCGAAGACTGATAGGTTTCTAGTAGTCTTAAAAGAGAGCAGCAGATGACTCCACAGGGGGGTCTGGGCGGGTGCCGGACAGGGTGCCGCAGAAGTCGTTTTAAGCCAACAGTCACACACTTCGTGCTCTTCGACCTCCCAGAACTCCATTCCCGGGCCACATTCTGAATGCCCGGAGCCAACTGTAGGCCACTTCGTGCTCTTCGATTTCCCAGAACTCCATTCCCGGGCCACATTTTGAATGCCCGGAGCCAACTGTAGGCCACTTCGTGCTCTTCGAGTTCCCAGAACTCCATTCCCGGGCCACATTTTGAATGCCCGGAGCCAACTGTAGGCCACTTCGTGCTCTTCGAGTTCCCAGAACTCCATTCCTGGGCATGATTTTGAATGCCCGGAGCCAACTGTAGGCCACTTCGTGTTCTTCTAGTTCCCAGAACTCCATTCCTGGGCCACATTTTGAATGCTGAGGCAGGCTGATGCTGCGGCCGAGGCAGGCTGAGGCTGAGGCAGGCTGAGGCTGAGGCCGAGGCTGAAGGCAGACTGAGGCTGAGGCTGAAGCAGACTGAGGCTGAGGCTGAGGCAGGCTGAGGCTGAGGCTGAGGCAGGCTGATGCTGAGGCAGGCTGAGGCTGAGGCTGAGGCTGATGCAGGCTGAGGCTGAGGCAGGCTGAGGCTGAGGCCGAGGCTGAAGGCAGACTGAGGCTGAGGCTGAAGCAGGCTGAGGCTGAGGCTGAGGCAGGCTGAGGCTGAGGCAGGCTGAGGCTGAGGTTGACGCAGGCTGAGGCTGAGGCTGAGGCTGTGACTGCGAGTGCCGTTGCCGCTGCGACTGTCATCGCGAATGCGACTACGACTGCGAGAACAGCAGAATTCGACAACTGGATTTTCATCTGAATCGTAAGGGGAATGCTTTCAGATATGCTTCTACACATCGCTGTTAGGTTGCTTTGCCGGGATAATTTTTTATCCCTCCAAGAATGAGTTTCACGCTGTTTGCGACCGTTGCGCTGGCAAGTGCGCGTTGGCTCCCGCGCAGCCTCGCCGCCGCCGCCGCCGACCCTCCCGCCGCACTCCCCGCGCGCGCCCGCGGCGCGGAGACGACGGCGCGACGGGCACCGTCGCTCCGCGCGGGCGCCGCCGGGCGCCGCCGGGGCGCCGAGCGGACGTCGGCGCCTCGAGCAGCTGCTGCCAGCGGCGGCCAGGGCGCGCGAGGAGCAGAATGAAGTCGGGCCCGTCCCCCTATACAAGGGGATGTTTGGCGAAAAATCGAAGATACCCCAAAAATACAACCCCCATGGGCAAAACTGGTCGAAAAATCGTCCCCAGACTGTTTTTGGACTATCTTTGACCGTTCCCCCTGCAGAGGGACAGGCCCGACTTGAGAGCAGGAGGAGGCCGTGGCGCGGCGCCCCAGCGGCGCCGCCCTCTGCACGGCCGGCGGCCTCGGCGCCCTGCCCCCCGCCTCCGCGGCGCCAGGCGCGGCGCGAGGGAGCCGTCGGCTCGCGCGGAGGGCTGCGCGCACGGCCGGGCAGGCGCGGGCGAGAACGCCCGCGGGCAGGCGCGGGCAGCCTCGGCCGCGACGCCCGCGGACGCGTCGGCGACGGCGCTGCCGCGAACTGCCCGCCGCGGAGCGCGCCGTGTCCCTCGACCTCAAGGAGCAGCTCCGCGCGGAAGACCACGAACTCGCTGCGCGGGCGGTCAGCGAACGCGCCCGCCGGCATCCGTCACGAGTCAGCATCGAACCCTCTCGGCGCGGCGCCCTGGCGGGACCGCCATCCCTCGCAGAAGACCAGGTTTTGGCGGCGCGCACAAGGGGGCGGGGGGAGGGGGGAGGGCTTCTTAGAAGCAGGCTGCTTCTTAGAAGCGCCGGCCTTACATCTACAGATAAGGCCCGCGCCTTCTAAGAAGCAGGGGTGCTTCTAAGAAGCCCTCCCCCCCACCCCACCCCCCTCTGCGCGTGGCTGAAGGTTTTCCGAAATGATCATCGCCCGGCCCGAAGGGCACTGGGCCGCCAACCCCGGGGCCCGCAGCTGCCCCCGACGCAGCGCCTGCCGCGGCCCCAACAGGCCCCCAACGACGGAGCGCTCCACGAGACCACCGCGAGGCCGCGCAACCACGACAGCAAAGCCCACTCGGCGGAGCGCTGCCGGGACAGCGCCCTCAGGTCCTCCCCCGGCGTCGCCGAAGACGACGAGGGGCCGCTCCGGCGTGCCCACGCCCAGCGCGCCTGCAGCGATGGGGCCGTCAAAGCCCACAAAAAACCAATGGTCCTCGGCCATGGGCTCAGGAACCCCCTTTCACGCCCGCGGCAACACGCCGCGGAGCCAGAAACCCTTTCGCGCCTTCTGTTCCACCCGCGCGAGACCGCACAGCCACACGCTGTCAAAACACAAACCTGCGAGCCAGCGTCGGAAGGGCATGCCAACTGGTAGGCCGTCTCAGGCGCGCCCCCGCGCGCCGACGGACTCCCCGAACGCATCGTGCTTCCGCTGCCTGGGCCAGCTGCCGCTGACCGCGATCGTGGCCATGGGCTCCTCCAACGCAGCGCAGCCAGGAAGGCGGCCGATGGTGCGGAGCAGCTCCCACAGGGATGACATGTCGGCGCCCTCCTCCAGCCCGGCACCGCACCAGTGCTGAGCTGCCCGCTGCCAGAGCCCCTCCTGGATGGAGTCGTCGAGGGCGGCGAGGAATTTGTTATCGAGCCGCTGCCCATGCTACGAGCCATCTGCTCAATGTTGCTCCCAGCCCCACAGGATTCCAGCGGAACTGCATCAGGTAGCACCACAAGGCAAAAAGGGGCCCGCGTACAAATCGAGTCCTCTGGCCGGGTTCAGCATCGAGAAGACGAGTATAAACTGGAATGACAGCTTTGGCAATCCGCCTTCGCAGCTCGGGGGTGCGCTGTCAATCAGAAAACCACCAGCTGACCATCTCGCGCGGCTGTTTGCGAGCAGGATCTCCGCATCTGGCGCATATGAGAAACTGCGACGTAAAGCATCGCCCGCGACGGGCCGCGCCTGACATTGCCCCCAACTGCCTACGGAGCTCCAGCGCGCGTGGGCCGAAGGTATCGTAGAACTCGTGGCTCGCGGCCGTCTGGATCATGACCTTCCCCTTGTGAGTGCACCTCGCGTGGCGGCGGCCCGCACGCGACATGCCACGCAAGCGAGCGTGGGCCGTCCGCGACTTGAGCATGCGCTTGCGGACGGTCGTCCAGGCCATCTGCCTGCCCATCCCGAGGTCGACCCCCAGGCAGGGGCCCTGGCGCACGGCCGTCACGCGATGCCCGCGGCGACGCACTGCGGAGGCGACGCTCACTGCGTCGGCGTCGCGTTTGCAGGAGACCACGCTCTTGGGCGAGCCTGTGAGGCCCTCCAACTGGCTGAGCTCGATGATGCTGGTGCTGCCTCGTCGACGACGGCGGCGCGCGAGCCGACCTTCGACAGCGACAGGTCGTCATCCTGTCTCCGCGGCATCAGCATGCGCAGCGATCCCAACACCATCTGGTGCAAGGTGTGATCTGTGAGGCACCTCGCGAACCTCGTGCCCGACCACAAGCCCTGCACAGCAGACCGCGAGGGCCGAAGACCGGCGACAGCGGCCGACTCCTGCAGGGGGACGCGCCCTGCCATGCACTGCTGCACCCCCGAGGCTATGACGGCAGGCGGGAACCCGCGGCTCGCCGCCGCGCGCCCCAGCGGCGCCCAACTCGTGGAGTCGTAGCAAGCTTCGACGTCCAGCATGCCGTGGCCGTACGATGCACCCGACGCGGCGTAGGCCTCCTCGCCCAGCGCGCGGACGAAGGCCTGCCGCAGCGCCGCATTGCTGGCCACGGAGGCGTCCCGAACCGACGCCGTGTGACGCGCTCATTTCTGCATGTCCGCCTCGCGGGCCATGCTGAGGACCCCGGCGAGGACATCCTGAGCATGGGCACGTGCGCGTCCTGAGGACCCATGGCATGGGCACGTGCGACGTCCTGAGGACGTGGGCACGTGCGCGTCCTGAGGACCCATGGCATGGGCACGTGCGACGTCCTGAGGACGTCCTGAGCCTGGGCACCCGACGAGGCCCATCCTCGCCGGCGCGTGGGCAGCCTGAGGACCGCGACGATCTGCCGCGAGGAGCGCGAGGAGCGGGCTCCGGGAGGAGCAGAAGGAGACATTCCCCAGGAGGAGGGAGTGGGAGGAGGCAGTCCCCAGGCGGAGGAGGGGGAGGGGGAGGAGG